CTGTAAAGTAGCTGAAACTAACATTAAAAATAGCCAAAAAGGCAGAATAATGCTAAAATTAGCTAMATAAAATCAAAGGAGCATGTTTGCTAAATTAAGCAGAAAAAATGTTGAAATTAACACAAAAAAGGTTAAAACTAGGTTCTTCATATGACCCCAGTGCACCAGAACTCAGAAGTCATCAGAACAGATTTATTGCTTTGGATAGGGGTTCGGGGCTTGGGTGGGCTCATTGATGGGCCTGACTGATAGCCCTTCATCTGAACTAAACAACAAAAGAAATCTGAAGCTCCTGTTGAGTAGTTTGAGTTATGAGCAGTTTTGTATGTCCAGACACCTTCTATTCAGGTGGAGCCCCCTCCTCAAATATGGGGTCCATCATAAAACCATTGGCTGGTGCAGTGTAGGTTGGACTCATCTACATTCCTGCCAACTTTCATGTTGATCAGTGCAGCTGTTTCCATGACACGTCTGCTCCAAAGTCTTAAAGAAAACGTTTTCTTAAATTTTGCACACTTCATTAAACCGTAACTGAAAAAACTGACAAAAAAGCAGCTAAAAGGAGCATAAAAACTTAACTAGCAGAGAGAAGATGAAACAATTGGTGAAGAAAGCTTAAATTAGCAGAAACAAGCTGAAATGAGCAGTGAAAGATGCTAACAAATGATTTAAAGGAGACTTTTAATTTCTATGAGAAAACAGCTGAAAAAGCAAAATAACTCAAAAAATAAAAATTGTACAAAAACACAAAGTCATAGCATAAATGTCTTGAATGAAACGATCATTTCAAGGTATAAATTAGTTGAAATGGCACACAAAAAGCAGAAACAGTTATATGGATGTTAATAGTGTGAATGCGTTATATTGACACAATAACTTCAAGATAAAATAGCTACAACTCTAAATATCWCAAACTAGGTAGGCTTCAATTAAAATATCTATTTTTTAAGATATTTGTCATCATTCTTAACTTCACATTATTTAATTTTARGTGAGTTTATCAGTTTGTCAAAAGCCTCAGCTCCAACTTTTGTGACCGATTGTCAGGTTTTCCTTTTAACCATGAAACCTGTGTTTCATGTCGCCGTGACGGAGCTGTCAGTCATTCAGGTGGAGGGAAAATGTCTGCAGTCAGGCAGCTGCTGTTAGAATCCAAGTAGATTTAAAAAAAAAGAATAGTCTCGTGATGAAACAAACGCCAATCTGCGCAGCAGGAGCCGGCTTCGATGTGTCACCGGTGCCGGAATCAAAGAGCCGAAGCTCGACGCTCACCAACGGAGCCAGAGGCAAGATCTGAACCTCTGACCAGAATCAAGGAGTCGCTGGTGATTGACAGGTTCACATCAGAAAAAAAGGTTTGCAGGCAATGTTTCAAAAGTTCGGGAGCGAATCATAAAATGAGTTTAAGGAAGCTGGAAGTGTCGGAAAATAAATCCAGTCACCGATAATTTTCTTTTTCCTGCTGCCAAAACAAATTACAGCTCAGAGAAAGAGACGTTGGAGGAAATCAGTGAACCAATGGTCACTGWGAAAAGTTGTTTTTATAACCTAAAAAAACCTTTCATGAGTTGGAACTGTTCAGTGAGAGACCAAACGTCAGCTGTGCCTTTTCAAAGCTGGATGAAAGCCTGTTAGATGTTTTCTGAAAGACATCTGGGTGAGTTTCAGTGAGGCGCTGAGCGAGCTCACCTTTAACAGATTAGATGTCTGCTTCTTTAAAAGGAAAATACAAAGAGAAGAGAYGACTCGTGGTCCTTTCCACACCGCCGTATGCACACATTTCATCCTTTCCTTCCCGCCTTTTCTTCCAGCGAAACCCAAGAACTCGGCCAAGGCCGAGACGGTGCGGGCCGGCAGCAGGTCTGTGGTGGTGGCCCGCTGCGAGGCGCTGGACGGGAAGCCAGCGGCCACCATCAAGTGGCTGGCGTCGGTGGGGGGGAACCACTCGACCAGCACCACCAATGGGCCGTACGGCACGGTGACGGTCCGCAGCGAGTACCGGCTGGTGCCCACGGCGGCGGACAACGGCAGGGAGGTCACCTGCATGGTGGAGCAGAAGACCCAGGAGCGGCCCTGGACTCAGATCCTGAAGCTTTCTGTGGAGTGTGAGTCAAACTTTGTCCTTTCATTCTGCTTTTGTTCAGTCTTTTTATAATAAACACAAAGTTTCTACTTTTCTCTTTAAATTATCAAAAACAAACTGAGGTTTTTTGCTTTTTAAGAGCTTTAAAGTCTTTATTTCATTAATGAAGATCATTTATTATACTTTAAACTAAATGTGAGAAAATCAGAATAAGAATTAACCATAAAATCAACTTTAAACTGTAAAACTGATCCTTATATGTTTAATTTGCAAACGAAGACACGTTTTGTTCTCCAATAGCTTCCTATAATCACATTATTCTCCTTCTATTATGAGGTTTCCTCTAATTTTATTTTGCCTTTTAATCCACTTTGGATTAAGCGTTCAACAGCAGGACACGATTAGACAGAGCGTCTTCAAGTCTGTTTTTTTAATTTAAGATATTAATTTCTAACTGTGAAAAATACATCAGCACAGAATACATGAAGTGAATCAGCAAATAAAACACAAGCTGATATSAGTGATTTTAAAATACTTGAAACCTTATTAGGTTTTTATTTATTCCAGTTTAATTTAATTATATTTTTATTTTTTCTGATTTATTGAGGATTGAAATGTCTTAAAGTTTGAGCTTGATTTATAAAACACTGAACACAATTTATTCATGTTTGTTTGGAACACATGCAGGAGCACGTATGTCAGAGTGCACATGGACRGAGGTCAAACAGCCTGTGTATTTGTTGGTGAAGGTAAAGTTTAAGACGTATAAAAAAAGACTCCGATTTGTAAAAAGAGCCGTGAGGCTTCCAGATGATCTTCATGGTTCTTTTCTGCACAGATTTACCATAAATATATTGGCCTTATTTAGGATTGTGGTCCTTTCTGAACCCGTGGTGGATCAAACCAGTGAGCAGTGGAGGTCTACACGTCTCTGGACGAACATGTTGACTCTAAWTCAGGACGGGTTTTGTCTAAATAAAAATGTGTGTGAAGTGGAGTCGTTCAACAAAATGTCCTTCAGCTCAAACTGCTGCTCACAGTTCACTCAAAACTCTGAAGGTCTCGACACACGGGGAGCGACAAACTACAGCGATTAACGGCTGTCATCACAGCCAGGGTGAAACCCGACACACGGGATGCGATAG